AGAAACAGAAAGGAAGGGACAAAATCAAAGCAACACTTGTAGCATAAAGAACAACTTTGTCGGCTCAAGCTACATTTATAATAGGGCTGTCCTCGACCAAAGAATCTCTTCGTCAACTAATACTCATGTCATTTTGCTGACCAATCGATTAGTTGATGTAAACGACAAATCTGTTGAACAGTCTCCACAAAGAATCACACAAATGAATGTTGTGTACACCAGAGATGTGCTCATACATTTCTTAGAAATAAGTCATTCAGCATGAAAAAGCATTAAAAAATGACTTATCAAAAAAAAATTTAAAAAAAATCTTCGTTGACAAAACAACCAATCAATTTACTGGGGAAAAAAAGGGGGCAGCAAGAACAACTTTATTGTGGCCTTACTCAGTTTACCATGGCTTGATGGCCAAGATTATGAAAAGTATTGGTATCAAAATAAGTTTTATGCTTTATACTAAAACAACTATTTTTGTTCTCAGTGAACCTCGGAAGCAGGTGAAGTTGTGCCTTAAGTCTCAGTGTCAATAAATTGAGAAAAGCAGCGTCATGTTGACAACGAGCCACAAACTCATTAGATTGTTGCAGACAGTCAAACGTTCCCTTTGTCATTAGGGGTTAATAAAGACTGATGATATATCTTTATAGATCACAATTTCATGACAATTACCATACTATGTATGCATTTCAACCTGTTTCATAGTGTGTATTTGCCTATGACAGACGCGCATGCGCGCGCACGAACACGAACACACACACACACACACACACACTCACACGTTTCCAGGACAAACCCATCATCAAGAACCAATAAACCTATAATGGACAGATACGCTCCGGTATGCCAGTGAGAGCGGCCTGGTAGTTGTAGTTTAATAAAATGGTACAGAGCCATGTAGATTAGGGATGCGTGTTTATTCGCTCTACAATGTGTTTTATGTTTTAAAGACACAATAAAGCTCTCATATCTAGAAACATTGAGACGTCTGGCCTCAGTCACCGTCATAAAGACAAGTAGCCTCAGTTCCTGCGTGAAATGTGATTGTTTGTTGATTATTTGCTATGTTTTGTCGTGCTAAAGAGGGATACGGTAAAGAGTGACTAATGGGCCTTGGGTTTCATGGTGACACTTCAGCATCAGCAGACAGGCGGTCACACCGGCCCGCTGAGTCGTCTCGCGTTAGCTACGTTACATATCTAACAGTTACTCGTTATCCGCTGCCAGCTCGAGACCTACGGTTAGCATAGACCCGGGGGTTCTAAACGTCCCGCTTCCTAACGTCCACGTGTGTGCTGAGAGTGTCTCGTGGGATTTAAAATGGCAGGTTTTGTCCTTACCTGCTTGATTGCTTGATGAAAGAGAAGAAGGAGCCCACTTCCCTTATCGGTTCCGTCCGTTGGCTGGTCCCCGTGGGTTTGTGTTGTTAAAGCGGTGTGCGCACGAGGAGGAGGGGGGTAACGCTTGTACCCGGAAGATAACCCGAGCCGGAAGGAAGGACCGTAGTGGAGTCTTTGAGGTTCTTCCGAGACGAGCTCCTTGTGTTCCACCGACGGGGTTTTTAAACTGGTCCTCTGCTCATGGAGGGATTTCGGCTTTCATAAAGCAACGGGGTTGACGTTAGTCATCACGCATGCTCACATCCACCGTGACGTTGAGCGCCTTCCCCTCTCGCCCTGTCATGGAGCGGCTCAGCCAATCAGAGGCGGCCTAGCGGTGACGCATCCCTCCCTCCTCCCTCTGTGAAGATACTCAGTGACAGCCCCGACAACATGTTCTGTAATAGGCTAATAACCTGTCTTGCATAAACTGCGCTTTTTTTTTCTTCTTTTTTTTTTTTTACCGTTGAACAGTTACTCAACCAGCACGTTCACCACCTCCTAAAATGTTAATATGAGGTACTTTCTGCTTGTCATCCACTGTGTTGTCTTCAGGCTGATGTATTCCACCACACCGCCATCTGATGGTTGTTTATTGGCCTACATTCACACACTTTGGTTCGGGTAGTTATCCTGACGTAACCCAGTTGGCAAAATGTTGGGTAACAGGGCTAAACCGCCATGTGGCAAACAGTTTGCTTTTTTTAGGTATTTAAGTTCATATTGTTTTTTAAGAAAACGGTTTTGGACTTTTTTGAGGTTTGCAGAAGGTGGCATTTTGATAACATGAGGTATCTAGTATTGGTATTTGATACATGGCATCCATAATTAACATATATCAGGACCAAACCATCTACCCCAGATCCCCATAACCCAAACCGAGCATGATCTTACTAAAGTACATTTTCATTTAATACATAGGAAAATCCCTACTTTTATTCAAAGTGACAACTCAAATGTAGTGGGCCTTTAGTATGGCAATATGTATGTTACGGTTGTTGTGCTTCGATGAAATGCAAGTTTGGAATATCAACGACCTGAGCACAATATCACCTGAAAATAAAAGGGCACTGACATCTTTATTACTGTAAATTGATAAGATTATTTCCTCTCTTGGAAAATTGTGACTCATGAAATTGTAACTTGACTTTAATGAATGTTATGTAAACACACTGATTTTTATATACTTGGATTCAACTTGGTTGACTAGTAGGCGTAGACACATAATATGATTTGCAGAGTAACTGTAAGTACAAACCATCCCCCAGAAATCCCATGACACACCTTGTGGTACCTGAACTTTTGATCCTAGTAAAGTCATTAAAAGTCAAGTGCCTCAGTAAACAAGGAGCTGCATCAGCAAACCGTGTTGTCAAATTAAATAATTAAAGAAATGATTGTATCAGCACAGCAGGGGTCGCCAACCTTTTTGATAGTGAATCTAAATCCTACATATATGTACTGTACTTTGACAGGTTTTGGGTTGTGTGTGTTCAATCAATCAACTAACACCCTGGCCTGCATGCATATAGGGACACTATCATGAATCTTTACAGAAGTAAAAACGTTTTAAAGAAAATGTTTGACATTATAGGAAATATGCTTTTACTCTTTATTGCTGTGAGTCACATTTCCATTGACACATGTGAAGGTGCAGCCTGCATCTTTCCGCTTAGCTTAGCATAAAGACTGAAAAACAGGAGGAATCTGCCAGCCTGGCTCTGTCCAAACGTGCCCAAATTCACCTACCAGCTCACTGAAAGCTCATTCAATTTATCTGAATTAAATTTTTCCCTGAGTTAAGTCATGCTGCTAACAATAATAACAGCTGATGTCTCAGATTAGATTTAAAGCATAAACTAATTCCGTCAGCAGATGTTGGGATGCTGCCAGCTACCAGCAAAGTTTACGCAGTCTGTTGACACGAGACACTGAAGTGGCGCCCGCTGCAGGCTCCCTGCAACACTGCAGTCCTTTACTCCGTTCAGTTCCAGAGATAAGTCATACACATACAAAAAAAAAGTTATTTCACATCCCACACACACCATCCTGCTGCCCCAAATACAGACCAGTGCATTAAATGTGGATTAATCAAAAATTGCACTATTTCCTCTTGTATGTTTGATAAAAAAACTACAGTTTTGGGAAATTACTAATGAAACTATTTGTGTTTTTAAAGATAAACGTCTTCAGTAGGAACCAGTGGGATTGGGGCTGAGAGCCACAGCCAGAAAGTCAGACGGTATTTAGAGACGGACTAAACCTGCTGACAAAATGAAAAATATAGAATAACATCAAACTTATCTTTTAGATTTTACTCTTTACAACTAAATATTACTTTCATTATGGATTCATCTGCTGATTATTTTCTCTATTAACTGATTCATCATTTGCTCTATGAAATTTATGAAGTCAAAGTTGATGAAATTAAATCTGTCGTTTTAATTTACTTGACAGTCCAAAACCTAACGATATTCAGTTTAGTATAATTAGAAACTATTCATATTCATGAGGTGGAATTGAGTTTGGAGTTTTGACTATTAATAAAATGAATTTTCTGTCAATTGATCAAGTACTGTTTTCAATCATTTACAATGTGTGTAATAATAGCTGCACTGCAGTAAGGTAGCTAAAGTCAGCCAAACAATGTACGATACTGACAATAATTGAAAGGTTTGCTCAAGGCAGACTCCACCTGTCAGCAGTCAGTCACAGAGAAGTCACATTAATTAACCTGCAGCAGTTTAGAAGTCTTCAAAGCACTGCTCTGTTTACGAGGCAAGCATAGTGAGCAGAGTTCAGTGTTTTTAATAAAACATTATCTGTAACGTTATCTTCTCTGAAGTTTGGTGCACACATTCTTTCTCCCCTCATAATTCTTCCTGCAGACTTTGTTGATCCTCTGACTTTTTCTCTGGAGCCATCACGAGGCTTACACTTAGTGGTTGAGATTGTTCAGTAAAAAAAACTATGTGATGGGGTTGCCATCCTTCATGTTCTCCTCGGGATGAACCGAACCATTACATAACTTTGTTGATATTTTCATCTATAGCGCCATCACCAGGTCAACATTTTAGTGAGTACAATGCATTGGTTTATGCCATGCAGAAATAACGACATCAGCCTCAGATAATTAGCAGATGTTAGCATGCTAAGCATAATGAACATCCTCGACCAAAGAAATTCTTAGTCGACAATTTGATATAATCAACAGATCTGTAAAACGTTAACTCTTCTGCTTACCAGATATGTGCTCATAAGTTTCTTGGAAATAAGTCATTCAGCATGAAAAAAGCACATAAAAAGACTAATTGACTAAAGAAATCTTAGTCGACTCCGATTAGCTGACCAATCAACTATCAGGGTGCAGCCCTAATATAATCCATCATAAATCTTCAGTTTAAAACAGCCCTGGTTATTCTGAAAAAGAAAACGTGCAATACATTTATGTGTGGAGCTAATAAGAGACTTTGAGAGGCCAATAAATGGAAAACACAGTTTCTGGCCCCGGACTGAAAGGGTTAATGTCACTCTAGTAAGGTAACCTGATGTTTGGACACCCACAGTGTTTGCTGCTTCATCTGAACGCAGGATGCAGTGAGAGGACGCATTGAAGAGGAGAAGTCGCAGCTGTCGACAGCGTCTTTAATTAAACCGACATCACAAAGGTCCTACTGTATTGTACATAATACTGTGGCACTTAAGAGTCAGCATGCTCGTAGGTACTGAGGAACCCAGATAAAGCCTTAATTCAGCACAGGAACACACTTTTTAACTGTCCTCTTGTTTTCTTCACAGTACCGTACAGACTCACTTTTCCAATCCGACCAGCTAAATGTATAATCTTCAGAAATACGAATAAAAAAAGGGAGAAATATTTGATTAATCTTTGAAGAACTGCTCCTAAACATGATGTTAAACAGAGACTTCTAAAACAAATATTCACTTCTGGTCCCATTCCATCAACCAGTGCAGCACAGATGAGACCAGTACAAGGTGATGTACAACTATTAACTATACATATATACATACACACCAGCGGTGTATCAGGCGCAGGTATCTACAGTGCCTTTACTTCAGGCGCATATAATACATAGTCATAAAACTGTAGTGCAAGCTAATTCCACATCACATATTTGATGACAACCATGCTTTAAGTTCATTTCTCTTTTTTTTTCTCCTTTTATTCTCTTAGTTCACTTCATCCGGTGCTCTAAAAACTCTTGAGGAAACAGCAGGTCTGTGTGTGCGTGTGTGTGTGCATGTGTGAGAAAGAGACTTGGCGTATTAGTGTTCAAGCTAATATCCTTGTGTGCTCAGGACCGGGGATTATTGTAAGCTTCTTCATTCCTTGTTGGTTGTCGTTGATTCTTTTTGTGTGACACAAGAAGCTCTTCTGTTTCTTCATTTGAGGACACAAAAAACCACACTGGACAGACGGGGATTTTTCTTTTACTCAGGAAGCTCTTCCCTTCTTCTGTCTGTAGTCCTTTTTAGTCCAAAAGCAGTTGTAAGATACAGCTAAAGGAGTGCAGCGAGAAAGAGGAAAACAAAACAAAAACGTCTAGTTCCTGTGTTTTTACAGAACCTATGTTATTCGGCAGGATGAGTTTGAGGTGTGGGTGAGGTGGGTGAGCTGTGCTTGTGTGTGAGTTGTGAAAGTCGGGCTTCCTTATATCACATTTTCAAACAGCTGCATGGAGTTCATGATGTTCTCGTCCTGGAAAAACAAGAAGAAAAATATTTGTCACCATAAATCTGAAGTCAACAAAAGTTCTGGTTCATTTGTTTTACTATTTTAGACATAATACTTAAAACAAATAACTCAATATTTGTCTATTGTGTCTAGTTGTCCAAAAACATAGGAAGACATCAGGTCCAGCTTTTTCTGGCTGCTGGTAGTTTGTAGTGTATTGTTTGTGTTGTATAACGTTTTTAACAGTTTTTGTATAAAGCTGTATGGCAGTAAAAGTGTAAAAAACAAAATGAATCTGTAATTTAGTGTGGACAGTTTGAATTGAAGATAATAGAGAGTAGTAGAAAACAACTTTGAGTCCTCATCCTGTCAATTATGTTACATTTTTTTTATCTCTTTGTTAATATTAATTAATATTGTTGAAAAATTTGCTAATTTTAAGTTTTTTGTCAATTTCTCTTAAAGAGAAGCTAAATTCTTTTCTTTTTTTCATTCCTTTGGTTCTTATTGATTGAGGCATGTTAGAACAGCTGCAACATTGCAGCAGATTTATGGCCCAATATTTGAGTTTGGGGTCGAAGACATGGATAGATCATCTCACAAGCTAAAACAAGTTTTTCCCTCACTGGCAATGTTTGCAACATGTGTCGAGACCTATGCCCACGCTTACCCAATTAACATTTTACAGCTTTTGGAGCTGTGAAAGCATGTTTCTGTGATTCAGTTGCAGTCTGGGAGAAGTGGACTTCAGTGGACTTTTGACTGACAGCAGAAACAAACAGTAATGGTGAACTGTAGATCCACAGTGAGGTCGATTGACTTATCTGAGCTCAAAGAAGCAAATAAAAGCTACATCATGTGGCCCGAACCGAAAAATGTAATTTGATATTGTGAAATTACATTTTTTTTTGATATGTCATGGTTCATTTTCTAGAAGGAATTAAGAAAATCCTAATGGGCACACCGTATGGGAAATAATGCATTTTACCGTTAAATTCTGGCTTAAATTAACAATATTTGAGTATTTATTGGGGGAACTTCTCCTTTAACAATAAAAAAACAAACACAGATGGAGACTTATTCTTAAGAAAGTCAAACACTGAACCTAACTGCAGCAGTGTTGAAGATGAAAAAAAAGGTTTTAATTAATGATGGAATATATTTCAACATGAAGGAGTAGAATGTGCATAATTTATAGCTTGAGGCGTTTTCGTCAGTTTTTCAGTCTTTAAACTACTTTTTCATTTGTAATTTAGGCATTTACCGTCCCTTCTATCCATATAGAAGAAGAGTAGAATAATGAGGTTGGATCATTCTCAACCACCAAAACTACCAACAACTAATGGCTTTTGTGCTGTTCCTCCATTTCTTACTCTTCTTCCTTCTGTGAATGTTGGTTTGAGCAACATCATTTTGGGCAATGAAAGGTTTAAAAGGAAGATTAATAAAACAAAATAAAGCTGAAAATTTAGAGCAGCTGATGAGGTAGAAGTATCAGAGCTTTATTCTGACAATTATATGAGCCCCTGAGATTGTCTGGAAATACTGCATGAAAGTCAACTTAAGAAATGGAAATTAGGTTTCCCGTTGGTTTGAAAATCATTGTCCAGATAGTATTAATTTAACAACACAGTGATCGTGTGAATAAAAGGTTGGCAGGAAATAGAGTTAAAGAGGTTTAAAAACAAACTACTATTATAAAAGGAGGGAGGATACACTCTCAGAAGTAAAGGTTCACAAGGGTGCTTAATAGAACCCATAGTCTTATAAAGAACCCCTGAAAAACCCTTGATTTAAAAGAGGGTTCTTCAGAAGCAGATGGTTCTGGGTAGAACTTTAGCCCTTCAGGAAGAACCTTTTTGGAACCCTTATTTCTAAGAGTGCATGATTCAGAAGGACGTCTGAGAAAGTTGGGTATTTCTTCAAAATATGAGTGAAGCTTTCCCGTCTGTGTAAATGTGGATCTCAGCAATAATACATCATGTATTACAATAACAGAAAGAGACGCGATCAGGACCTGAGTTGTTTTGTTCTTTGTCCCCTTTCATGTACAAAATGTCCATACACGTCTGAATGGAAATAAAATCTCCTTATCCTGATCCTGAACCCTGACCTGTAGTACAGTATTTGTGTTGATGAGTAACTTTCATTTAGTTCTTAATGTCTGTCTGTCTGTTTGTGTGTGGGACAGGGTGAAAGAGTCACCTTCTGACAGGTCTCAATGAACTCTTCAATGGTCACTACACCATCTCGGTTTTTATCCATTTTCTGTTGGAAAAATACAGGAGAAAAAAAAACAGAGAGAAAGGAAACATTAGAGATAATTTACAAAATTTCACTTAAGTAAAAGTACAAATGTATTAGTATAAAAATATAGTTAAAGTACCAAAAGTAAAAGTAGTCATTATGCAGAATGGCCTATTTCAGAATAATGTATATCATATTATTGGATTATAATTAGTGATGAACTAATGTGTACATCACTTAAATGTTGCAGCTGGTAAAGGTGTGGCTAATTTAACCTACTCTATATACTGCTGGGCTTAATCCATAATAATCCATCATCATGTATATGTTGATTTATATTATGTATTAATAATGTAAATCTTCAAAGTAACTTGTAACCGAAGTTGTCAAATAAAAGCAAAAAGTACAATATTTGCCGCCAAAATCTAGTGGAGTATTAAGTATCATAAAATGGGAGCACTCCAGTTAAGTACAAGTACCTCAAAACTGTACTTGAGTACAGCACTTGAGTTAATGTACTTAGTTACATTCCACCACAGTGTGCTTGTGTGTTTTGGATTTGTGTGCATTCAGAACCTGGAAGAACTTGTCCACGTGTTCAGAGGGCGCTTCGTCTCGCACACAGGGGTAGGTGTACCTCCCCATCATGTCGTAGATTGACGTCATAATCGCCAGCATCTCCTGAAGAGAAGAGGACGGAAGCAAAGCGAAAGAGTTACCTCAACTATCTATTTACAACGCTCTTAGCTGCACTATATGCCAACGAAAGACAAGATTAAACACGGGATCTCCCATGAATCATGTCACACACGTCTTTGGTGATGCAGCCGTCCTTATTGATGTCGTAGAGGTTGAAGGCCCAGTTGAGCTTCTCAGTGACCGAACCTCTGAGCAACACCGACAGGCCGATGACAAAGTCCTCAAAGCGGATTGAGCCGTTTCTGTCGATGTCGAATGCGTTGAACAGGAAGTGAGCGTACGTGGTTGCATCTGTGCACAAAAGGAGGCAAGGTGATAGATTTAGTCTGCTGTATCTGCCGCTTCTCAATGTCGACACATTCGTCCTAAGAGCTGCTTGGAAATACAGCCCGTCATTAAAAACACCGGTGTAAAGTAAAATTACTCAAGTATTGTAGGTACTATTTTGAGGTACTTTAGTTGAGTATTTCCATGTCACTTTATACTTTTATATCTCACTAAATTTATAATAATAAAGGCCGATAAAGTCCTCAAAGCGGATAAATAATATTCATACATCATGATAATTTTGTCCTATTTTGGATGTATCAATTCAAAAAAAATGTAACGGCAAATCTCGCAAAAAAAAAAACAATGAAATCAAACTGAGGACATGGAAAAATTAAAGATAATATTTCAGATAATTTTGGTGCGGTCCCTAACAAGGAAGGACAAGAGAGGAGAGATTGTTTTAATGTCTAACCTCCTTGGGGAAAGAACTGAGAATAGATGGTCTTGAATGTCTCCTCATCAACCATCCCACTGGGACACTCCTGCTCAAGAGAAGAAGGGAAAAAGCAGAAACATAGAGTATAATTCAAGTCTATATAAAGCATAGCAACGGCGGTAATGCAACGAAGACCGTCTTTGCAGCTGGACGTACATTCTTAAAGCCTCGATAGAGGGACTGGAGCTCCTTCCTGGTGAACTTGGTCTGAGCCTGCAGCTGGTCCAGACCCTCCGGCTGGTGACGCACCGTCGACAGCTCCAGGTCACTGTCGCTGCTGTCTGTGGGAGAGAGAGACAGACAGAACAGGGAATGGAGAGACAGACAGGAAGAGGAAAAAGAGGGAGGATGCGGCAGACATTAAGTGTGTGGATGCAGGTCGACATTTGGGGGGGGGGGTCACACATTCAACAGGGAGGCGTTTGTTGCAGAGCAGGTGGGGAAAACGTACAATTTTAAGAGAGAGATTTAGCAAAAAACTGTAGAGGAGCAAAATGCAGCCAAAAAAAAGGAGGGGAGGTACTTTCTTTGTAGCGGAAATGTCACCAAATAAGTATCAAAATAGAAGACACTGTAGAAAATCTGAATTTGAGAAATTCAATCAAAGAGTAAATCACATTATTGGTTACCAGTTGACACACACTAAGAGAAAGCACTGCACAACTGGGAAAAGTTAAAAAAAAAAAAAAAAAAGGAAGGGAGGGAGGGAAGTTGGGTTGGGTATACACTGGTACTATACTCACCATCTTTAGACAGAGAGAACAGAGGTGGAGGAAGGAGGGGGTGATGACATCAAGATGGAGTGAAAGAGAGTAAACAGAGAATAAGAGAGTGATGAAAGGAAGAGGAAGAAAGAAAGAAAAAGAAAGAAAACAAGTCAGATCAGACACAGAGGTTTTTAACGCTGAGCGGTCCAGAGGAAAAGAGACTCACGCTATATTCTGATAAAACATCCAGCAGAGCAGTGAGATATGATATTTCTGTGAAACATAAACCAAAACCACAGCAGAGGGAGCTGAAACCCTTGTGTAATATCGTATTGTTCATCAAAAAGAATAAGACAGAGACAGGCGACCTCTGACCTGCTCCACCAGATGAATGCTCCACATGATAAAATGTGTAAAACAAAAAGTAGGTCTTCTATGTTGCTTTATTCCAAACAAATAGTAATTTGATATGAAATGCAATATGCCTATGTCATGACCTAAAAGCAGGTTGCCTTGGAGCATTAAAGTTCATTATTGACCATGAAAACAGCAGTTTGACATAAAAATCTTATCTCAACTCAAGGTTGACCTTTCAACCATATCTGCTAGTAAGTCGACCTTGTGTTAAAATGTTCTTAGTCAAAATATTTCACTGAGATGATTTGTCTGTGGTGTAAATTGATTGATCATCATTTTTCTGCCAGTTCTTTCTTTTTCTTCTCATCACCTCAGTGTCAACTTGCATTTACATTTAACAGAGTGCTGATATTCTGGGGTTGGCCTACAAAGATACATCATCCTTGCAGCACTCTACACCACCGCTTTATCTGAGTTATCGTAATTACAAATTTTACAACTCGTAAATACCATCCGTGTCAACTTCCAAGTTGTAACGACGACTGGGAAACACAGATTTTTCTGAAAGCTCAGATATATCAGACTTAATTAAACAAATATGAACGTTTCACATCAACCAAAGACCACAGTTCACTGTAATTAAAGCCACATGTAATGGATATGGTGTTAAATTGTCAACGCACAGTGTTTAAGTTCTCACACGACATACTTGCAAGTCATTAAGATGGAAATCTTTCCTATTTCTACCATCCATCCCAAAGTTCCAAACTTCTTACTAAATCAGGCTGCACCATTAAAACATATCAGCTAGTGAAGACTTTAGTAATGTGTTGGTTGCTAGCATACATCTGCGGCTCTATTCAATGAGTAAGTATGTAAACAGGAAGTCACTGCAGCATCACAAGCTAGCATTATTTCAAAAACTACAGTTTTAGAGAGGCTAAAGATGGGCCTACATCTTTTGTTTACGCAGGTGTTTCTTAGTTGTATTCATGTCTACATACACAGAGAAATATATGTTTCCAAGTTAACATTATTTGTATACAGTTAAGAAGGAGAGGGAAATATGTGATTATGCTAACCCAACTGAGGTTATAGTCTACTCATTCATTTAAGAGCATTTATCACATTTCAGGTCAGATATGTAAGTCGTACTCCATATTGTCTCTTTTAATCTTCACTCTAAACGGCTCACATATTAGCACGCTAGCATTAGCTTTGTTAGTTAGCTACACGACAATTGTTACACCTGGCAGTGACCGGGTGTAAATGTCCACTTAGTAAACTAGGCTAAGTTTGAAGATACGAAAAACCGGCTCCATGGCGCCATAAACGCTTACTGGGGCACCAAACGTGTATTCATGCCCAGCTGAAAATAGTCCCAACAAATGTAGGCTACTCTTTACTCCTGTTTGACTAACATTTAATACAAAACTACAGTTCCAAGCTTATTTTGGAAGTTACTGAAGAGAAATACAACTATATATTTGTGTCCATTTTGTAAAAGATTGATGTTATTGGGGCCGAGATCAACAGACACACAGGGGAGAGACAATAAGTGTGAGGTGTATCTTTTCATTGCTGACAATAACAAACTGCCTATCTATGCCTTATTCTTAAAGTGAAAACAGTTTTTTACATAACAGCCTTTGAAAGGATCCCAGATAAACCAAAAAGGTTCTTTATTACGTACACTCTTTGCATTTCACTTCCTCTACTCCTCTCATCATTTACAACTTTCCAGACTTGCATTACAAACAGCATTCACAAATATCCTCCAAGTGGATGAAAAATACAACAAATGTAACTCCAGATTCCTCCTCCTCCTCCTCGTCATTGCCCCTCACCCAGGTTGTCTCACCGGTCTCAGTGATGTCGATCAGGCCCAGCAGGTGCATCAGTTTGAGGAACATGATCACCAGGCAGACGATGCCAACAGTCTGGAGTCCCTCCGTCTCCCACCTCACACTCATCTTCCCCTCTTCTTCTATCTTCCCCTCCACGGTCCTTCTCTTTCCTTTCCTCTTTTACATAGTTGGACTTGAACGAAACACCTTTTTTCTCTTTCAATCCATCTGTCTCTTTGGGTCTCACTCTCTCCGGTCTTCTTCTCTTTCCCCTCCTGTTTCTGGAACAGTGTCACTCACTCATCACTCCTTTTCTGCCACATGTTACTCTATTTAGCTCCCCCCTTCTACCTTTTTAATTGACTGGCATTTTCTTCCCCCACCCCTGCTCTCTGCTGCTCGAATGGATCTTTCCATGTTCTCCACAACCAAGTCTGATGGACCAACTCCTTTATTAAGGTCAGGTGAATCAGATTATTGCTGTAAAAAATATCACCAAAGAGAGAGAGAGATACAAAAACAATCCCAGCCAAAAATCTGGACTACAGCGTTAATCCATGGGAAATCCAATCAGATAGAGAGGAAGCTCAAAAACTGTCACATCACACATTAGGTTGTTTTGGCACCAGCAGTCAGTTGGTTTGGGAATCCTCCCATGAACATTATTCCTCTAGCTGGTGACAAAACTCTTGTCAAATGAAAAAAATGACTTCCAAAATCCACCTCTGACTGAATGAGTGATGCTCTGCAGCTTCCTCATCTCTTCCCTCCCTCTATCTCACATCTTCTTTTCTGCTAATTAACCTGCGAACCCCCCAAGGAACTAGCTGCAATTCTACCCGTTTCATCAAAATAATGAAATAAAAGACAGCAAAGCACTAAATATCACAGCTTTTAGGGGACAAAACTAACTAAAGACTGTAATATTGTTTTTCTAAATGTGACACATTAGCCAGTTTGTCATTAAGGAGCCAGATAAGGTGGTGAGAAAAGGTCAACAGGTGTCCTGGATCCCATTTTCCCAGTCAGCTCAGTGATCCACTTTCTAATTGTTCCCCGCGTCTCTCCTGGGGTCCCTAACACAGATTTGATACTGTGTCACACACGCACACTCCTGTAAGACATGCTCCCTCTAGTGGAGACCGATGAAACAACAGGGGACTGTGCAGCCACAGGACTTCAGGACGGGTGACATCATCCCAGATTCAGAAAAGTGATTCTTTCTCTCTTTATTCACAATTGAGGTATTTTGATTCGAGCATATGGGGTCCAATGGGACACAGAATTACCCTCTCGTTCAATATGTCAAGTGTTTTCCAAATCTCAGTCTGTACTAAAAAAAGACAAGATAGAGGGATAGACTTCATCACGTCAAGTCTCATTTAGAGACCTGATTTTTAGAAGAATATTGACTTTTTCAACATGCAGGCCTGAAACATGAAAGTCCTTTTTTCAGTCCTGAGTTTTACCTGCAGATTTCTTGTCAGGATATATACAGCCCCGACACAAACTCAACCCATAAGGCAGGGTCGACTGTGTGTGACCCGAGAGGCAAAACCCAGGGCAAAAGGCAAAAAAAGACTTATAATAATAATAATAATTATAATAATCTGAATCTGCAAGCATAGTACATTAGCGTAACGTTGCACTCAAGTACAGCTCTTGAGTAAATGTACTTAGTTACATTCCCCCACTGGTTGAATGATCTATGCCTGACAAACATGGGAATGAGCAAACAAGTCACAAATAAACGTAAGAAACAACTCATTCACATCTCTTTACAGTATATCGATGTTACTCATCCTGCACCAATGTGGAGTACAAATACCAAATGTCGGTATCAGAGAATCTCAGAATACCTCTGTAGGTCTTAGACAAGGCTACCTCTGGCATCAGATGTCTTCCCAAAATAGGACCAAGCTGGACTGAGCCCAAAATCGACATCCAAGCAGAGAGGACGGGACTGAAACAACAATCAAAGGGGCCGAGGGGTTGGTCAATGTGTGCATTTTCAAAAATCAAAGGATCTTTTCTTGAGTGCCGATGATATAAATAATGCAACAAATAAGCTCCCAGACCTGATTGGATTGTTGATTGATAAAGGACATCTAATGCGCTGCTGATGCTAAATGTAGAAAAACTGGGTACACGGTATCAAAGATCCCCTCCAGACATATTTATTACTTATAAAAATACTCTGCTCGAACAATTATTTATATTTTGAATGGAGGGGGACTTAAAAGAGTTTCTTCTTACGTTATAATATAGATTACTTTTAATGCGTTTAATTCTCTTTTTTGATTGTGTTTATGTTCTTATGAAAGTTACATTGGAACACAGCTTACACCACTAGACCCCTCCAAAGTTTTCAGAAAAAGCCTGAATCAGCTTTTTTAACATCTGGCATTTTAAAGTTACATTATGCCACTACTTTAGTTTCAAAGGGGCTATAATGGTGCTCCAGGTAGTAGCCAAGATCTCAATAGGAGTCCAGTTTTGGTTTGTTTTAACTCCCTATGATGGAGTATGAAAAACTGTTTCTTTCTTTTAAGGTGTGTATGGAAATGTTTTCTAAATCCCTTTCATTAAATTCTTTCCCCCCTAAAAACAGACACATTTTAAGATACTTCAAATCTTAAAGAATATCACAATCAGTCTAAAACATGTATCAACTGACAATTAATTGGTAAATTAACTGTTGATGGTTTGTGCTTCCTAAATGTGAGACATTGACTGTTTTTCCTTGTCTTGCATTATAAAATGAATATATTTGAGTTTTTGAAGAGAAAAATAAAATTTTCAGGGCATTTTTCACTATCTTTTTATGTCATTAAACCTCTCAAATTAGCAGAAATTAATTCAGAGGACATGACCTCACTCAATGTCTTTGGTGGAATCTCAGCCTCAAGCTACAGGTCATTTGGCAAATATCTAACAGGCAAGAAACATCACGAATTGACTGCAGAACTGAATCAGTAGCGAGAGCCTCAAAAACAACTGTGATCACCGCTAAGCTGAAATGTATCGCAGGGCTGCGTTTAGAGTCTATTTCTGACCAAGGCCGGTCAGCTAAGAGCTCAACGTCTGGACCCTGAAAAGTACGACCATCATGAGTTACTTCTCAGCTGTTTTCCGACATGAAGACAGGTGAACATTTGGAGAGAGACAACAAATGTAAAATATCTGCTGCCAAACAAGTTAAAATGTTGATGAGATACTGAAGCTGCAGTATCACGAGGAGGTGATGAAGTAAGGAAGTGGCTGGAATCAGGACTGAAGACGCATGATGAGAGCTTGGGAGGCTGCTGAGGGATGGCCGGTGTCCTTCAGAGTCCTGGAGGAGTACTCCAGGCTCCAAATTTAGGCGGCCTCAGAGAAAGCCTGTTCGATACTGCATGTATAATTGATGGGAAGTAATGCTAAACCGGGGTGTAGGCCCCGCCACAGTGGGAGGAGGAGGAGGAAGATGAGTGGGGTTGTTTTTGGTGGGTTTAATATTGGAGCGATTGAGAGGAGTGATAAATTATGAAGGGACATTACTGGTGTTTTTTTTGTTGTATTTATTACTTGTGATGCAGAGCCATATGAGAAGCACTAATGTGCCGACTGGAGCCTTCCTGTAATTGTCTTGGCTCACTGACTCCGGGGCACTCTGACTGGCTGGCGTTCAGCCCAAAACTCTAATCAAAGGGAACTGCATCGCTCAGAGAGCAGCTTCTCATGTCTCTTTCACTGTCCCACATGTACACCGTCTACTGGCCCATCAAGGTTTTATGGTATATCTCTTAGTAGGCAAACAAAACAACACTACCCATTAACCCACACTGATGCAATACATAGATTTGAAGATGGTCCATTACTTTCAATTATGAAAAAAATAAATGAATAAATGCTAATGTAGCTGTAGCAAAATGTTTATTTTTTTCGTTATTACATAATAGAGAGCTGACAGGGAATAAGGGGTCGGAGCAGGGAGAGATGACGTGTAACGATATTGAGATTACATGATCAGCTTCATTTATTGGACATACACAAAGGGACAATGTGAAAGGCTAATTTTCAAATGTTGTCCCTTTGGCAGTGTAATATAAATACAGTTGGCTTTACTTTACTATTAAAATAGGAGGAATTGTCTAGAAAAAAATACTTGATCATAGTGGTGGAAGTACTCCCACCCCTTACCTTGATAAAACAATCAACATTAAAATATAAAAAGGCTTTGAATATTACTTACGTAAAAAAAAGTATGTATTTTATTGGTTTATTATCATCACTGATGCATTAATGTGTAGGCAAGATATTAGGGGTCTTAATAGGCTGCTGGGTAGTTCAATTCATAACCATGTGTAATAATTGAATTCAAACTCATTCGAGGATGCTGTACACGGAAAACATGTGTGGTCAGTTAGGGATGCAGGGGGCAATTATTTTATTTAAAGTTAGCAAAAAATATATTCATATCATTATGTATTATACACCAGCTAAACTTAAAGAAAAGGTGACTCGTAGATAATTACTGTTAGAAGTGGGAGGAAGTAGAGGAAGGAACACTTTATCTTTCAGTTCATCACCAAATTTGGAAATAAAGCAACAATATGTTGTTGATGTTTTTTTTTACCAAATGTTCCAACAAGACTTACATGACTCGAGTTTAAAGGTTGTCACTTTAACTTCACCTCTCTATTTAGCATGTATAAGCAGTATATAAACATTGAATACATATTTATATGACTCTATAATGTAGTTGTAAGCTGGTATAAGCGTTTATTATTGTACTTGACTATAATTCATCCTGTGGAGGCTGGTGTATAAAAAGATAAGGAATGACAATATAGTAAACTCAGTTGTCATTGTATAAAATGTGTCTTCATTGACTTACTTATTAATATTAATAAACACTTAACGACGTTCTTGTAACTACATATAATTACATTATAGTGTGTTATAAACCTTTCATTGAATGTTTATTGCGTGTACAGTAAATGTTAAATAGGGGTCATCAGAGCCAGTAGAGGGGCCTCAAGTGGGCCCTTACCTTCAAAAGAGGACATGGGCTCCAGGATGCCAAACTGCTTGAGAACTGCCATGAAAAGAATGAGGACCACGGCGATGGCAAACAGCTCCATGCCCTGGATCCCCATGACTTCAGGACAGGGGGAACCCACTCAGGGCCAAGCCTGCACGAGAAGGCCTGGCCCCGGGGAGAGACGATGGGGGGGTGCTGGGCCCCGCTAGCCGACAGCAAGTGTTTTCAACAGAGGTGAGCCAAGAAGTGACAGGAATCAAGTCTGGTTGGTGGGTGACGGCATGGGTTTGTTTCCAGGCTCAGGAGGCATGAGAACCAGGCCGGGGGGCTGGACGAAGGAGGCTCTTATGTCAACACTGATGCTGAAGTGGAAAATATGTGGAAGCCGACATATATGGAAAACCTCCCTCTCTAGACCCATAAGGGAAAATGGGGGTTGTGTCACGAGCCATTTGTTACGGTGCATTAAAGGAGACGTTTAGAGTCACTTTGCAGACTTTCCTCCTGCATGTGCCGTCAGGAGCTCAGACTGGCTGGTTGCTGCTCATCCTCTTAATCCAAACAGCTATCATCAGTCCTCACGTCACAGTTTACACCCATCATTCACATCTTGGTTGCAAATGAAAATGTCTTTTGTGGAAAGCAGAGACTTTGGCGTCCATTTACACGATTTTATACAGAAAAGTCTTCTCATCTTCCATGCCATAAAACAGCAATACCGCATTAGCAATTATAAGTAAATCACCCCATTATCCTAATTATCTGCAAGCTGAGGACAATGAGACTTTCTAGTCTCAGCAGCTTGCGCTCACAATATTTAGGATGAGATCATGTTTTAAAACAGACCTATGAGTCGAGATACAAAAATGAAACTTCCATGCAACGTGAAAAGTGGGTAGAACGACGCTACACTGCGCAAATAATAATATTTTTTAAAATCATAAGACATTTACTTATGCAGCCAAATAACCACTTCCTCTGTCAGTAATCCTTTGGTCCACCAAACACTTTTCAGCAGAGACCTAATTTAACTGTAAATTTCAGTTCGGCGTTGCCGTCCCGTCTGATTGAGTCCACTTCACTGTTTGTCCAAATCCAGGTCCAGATATGGAAGAGTAGGGCCGTGGAGAGGAGGCACTTAGAGCAGCAGCAGCGTCCAGTGAGGGAAATCCTGACAAACTGAGGAGGGCTGTGGGTAATGAAACCTCCTCCTCCAGGCATACTTTTCCATCACTCCCGTCTCTCTGCAGCTTCCTGAACTTATATGTTGCTGCCTCTGGTTGCAACTTTCCTCCCTCGCCTCAGTTAGTCAGCGCTCACTCTGGCTGGGGTTTAAAACTGAAGTGCCCTGTCCACCCTTAGCCCTCCACCCATCCTGTCCTTTCTTGTGGTCTCTCCTTTCTACACCGCACTCCTCCTTTTTCCTCTGTCTGTCCATCTGATTCGCCTTTACGCCCCAGAGTGTGCCTCCTCCTCCTCCTCCTCCTCCCTCCATCCCGTGTCATTCCATAACTTTGGCCAACCGCAGACTTTCTCCCCTCCTCAACTCCGTCTTTCCACCTCCAAAGTGTCCCTCATTTCTCCACCACATCCACCTCTTCAGGGGCGGGTAAAGTACCGTTTGAATGGGGGGGGGGTGGCGGCAGACTGACGCACAGCTTTAAAGGCTGGTCAGACTGTTAAGACTTGCATTTAAAACCCTGGTACTTAGCAACAAGTAACTGGGATTAAATGAATGTCAAACAAACAACTTTAAATATTATAATATGTAATAATATCATATAATATCTTCTTAGTCAGAAAGAGACAGTTTTGTGTCTTTTTGGTAGTTTTGTGTCTCTTTGTGGTTGCTTTGCGTACCTTTGTCATCATTTTGCGCCTCTTTGCGAATGTTTTGCGCTTCTTTGTGGAACTTTGCATCATTTTTTAATTTTTCGTGTCCTTTAGTTAGTTTGCTTTTCGTGTTGCATCTCGTCTTGTTTCTGACTTGCATCTTTGTGGTTGTTTTGCGTTTCTTTGTAGTAATTTGATTGACTTTTCAACAAGAAATGGTAGCAGTCTCTTCATACAGATATTGTGGTCCGAGGCCTGCTTTGCACTCAGTATTTCCTCTATCTAACTATATATAGTGTGGGCGGGGCTTCGGGGCTTTGCCAACTGAGTTGAGCATGTCATCCACAGAGGGCCTTTATAGGCCGCGGCTCATTGCCTGCAGTTCACTTTTGCTGCTGGATGCTGGAGATGCTAAGGCTACAATGCCAACAAGTGATGAGAGGTTCCCAAGAACACTGCGAGCAGCGATACCGAGAGCCACACAATCAGTCATGCGCTCTGAACGGCTCCGCCCCAAATGGGCACTGCACTCCCCACATCTCAAACTCGTCCTCGACCATCTTATTTTTTATCTGTAAAGAAGAACCCTGAATATCAGAAATGTGTGATTATATTATTATTCTCTCAAAAATCGTAATGATTCCTGGAATATGTGCAACAGTTTGTCATAGATAACCTCTCGAGTATGTGAGCATGGGTGTGTATACATGTGGTTGTGTGACTTGTGTGTTCAGCAGGTCAGAAGAGGATAACTGATGTCTCTGCACTTGCTAATGCATCAAGATGAGATGGGGAATGGAGGTGTGTGTGTGTTTGTGTGTGTGTAAATGCATTGACTTGGTTGGAGATAGCAGACACAGATGGAAGGCCAGAGTGAGAGAGATCGATATCTTTGTGGTGAGGCGGTGGTGGTGGAGCTTCCCCTCTCTTCTTTTTCTGCTTCATACACTTCACCAGAAGAATGTAAATCAACCATCAATAATAAAATCATGAAAATCTATTTTCAGTCTCTACGGTAACTATTCTTTAATAAGTCTTTGGTGCCTATCTCTACATCGGATGAAGGTCAAATTTACATTTCAGATATCACAGGAGAGTTTTGGTTCTGTTTATGTGCATTTAAGTTTGCTCTCTTGTATATTGATGCTACTGAAGTGAGTTTATGGGATCTACTGTGTGTGTGATGCGTGTGATGTGTGTGTGTGTGCGTGATCATTCCTCTGGGGAGGCCATTAGGACACTAAAGGGTTTTTAAAAGGTAGGCTTGGCGCTGCATGCTGACACAACAGTCAGTAAAGAGGGAGAGAGGATCCAGACGGTTTCCTTTCGGTCAGACACATCAGCAAGATCACCTCAGTCTTCACCACACCCGGAGGGAGAGAGACGCAGGAACGACACAAAAACGGGTGTTGAGGCATTCGTAAAGAAAGAAATGACTCCTCGCTGTAATATTTTACAATGATACAATTCTCTCATATTTTAAATGCAGCTCATTATTGTTCACTCATGTAACACATTGATGATTCAACCTGCAGCCAAAAACTGGACATTAATATAGGTATTATTATTTATAAAGCCTTTTGATCTGAGTAAAATTCCACCATGGAAACGTAATCTATTACAAGTAAAAGGCATTCAAAACTCTACCTCAGTAAAAGTACTTCAGTAGTAGCAACAACATGAAGAACTAGTATCAAAAGTACTCAATTACAGCCTTTTGCATTTGAAAGATTGATAGAGACTGCACCTAATGAGACGATTCTCGATAGATTAAAAGGTAGTTTGGGAGATCTATTTATGGATTTCTTTTCTATATTCTACACCATGGTTTGTAATAGCTCTACTCCTGCTTCTACTTAGATTTACTTGCTGCAGTGCAACAACCTTTTTCCATAAAAACTTCAATGCAAAAAAATTATAAAAGTAAAATAATCTTAACGTAAATGGCAACACATCTTTTAAATAAATTGAGTAAAGCCATATCAAATTTCAACGAGTAAATGTAAAGCTATCATTTTGCGCCTCTTTGCGAATGTTTTGCGCTTCTTTGTGGAACTTTGCATCATTTTGCATAATTTTTCGTGTCCTTTAGTTAGTTTGCTTTTCGTGTTGCATCTCGTCTTGTTTCTGACTTGCATCTTTGTGGTTGTTTTGCGTTTCTTTGTAGTAATTTGATGAAGCGAAGTGTTTAACATTAGAGAGGAACAAGGATTCCCATCACCAGCGATCTGAAAAATTACAACCTACAGAAACTATGTTCTACCACAGAGGAGAGGATTTTATAGACCTGAACACACTGTTCGACCACAAAGTGATTTCTGGGACGTTCAGTGCAAACACACCACAAAACTGCTCACTTATCCAAACTCCATGAAAACAAGACTACTGTGGATTTACCGCTTTGATATGAAGAAGTAAGAGTGAAAAGAAATGAGAGACAACTTGACAGAGTGATGGAGGGGGAATGAGTAGAGAAAAGAGTGAATAAAGAAACAGATAACAATGCCGGATGGTGAAACCATTCGAGTGCCTACCTGATCGATGGTACCTGGCTGCGCTGTGGCCGCAGTGAGAGAGGCAGCTCGGCCGAGAGAGTCGCCTCCTGGCCTCCACGGAGAGAGCGGCCATCACAGCTCCCATTATGCAGCTGAACTACGACGGCAGCAGGGCTAACACTGGCTAACAGGCTGCTCTGAAATACTTTGAATACCACCGGAGTTCCCTGGATTAGACCAAAGTCTAACAAGACAAGATCCAGACTTTAAAAGACTTTAATAGGCGTGAATGCTCAGTCATGGAGATCAATGCTAACCGAATGATTTAAACCCTAACTCTCAGAATCTCAGTTCAGAGCAAAGCTTGAAGGTCTGACTCTCCTGTGCCAAAAAGGCAGCAGCCTGGCACTGTGGAAAAGGTGACAGGTGGGAGAGTTTTTCAGTGTGTAGGTGTGTGTGTGTGGGGAGGGCCTTTGTCAGAGGCCACATTAGAAAATCTGTATGAGTTTGTGACACCACATCACACAGGGAGAAGAGAGAGATGAAAAAGAGGACGGGATCAAACATCACAGCAGAGCATCCGACCTTTCACATCACACACCCCCGCGTTTCTTTTTTTTTTTTTTTGTATTAAGTCTGTCTGTCTCCCTTCCTCTCGTCTGATCGTGCTCCACAGAGAAGCATGACTATATAACTCCAACACACTGACTCACTCTCCCTGCTTTACTACAAGCAAGCCTCCATTATCTCACTGAGGACAAAT